CCTCCTTTTTAGGAGCAGTGAAGACAGCAGAAGAGTAAGGACTTTCTTACTCCCCTATAGTTTACTAGAATGAAGTACCATTATATAAGTTATATACAAGTCTGTACATCATTACACACAAGTCCGTAGTGAGTATTACCAGGTATTACATACTATGATGAACATTAGGGATTGAGAATCAAATAAGACATGCCTCCCAAAATAAGATCATTGTTTGCTGAGTGGAGATGGAGGAATAGTAGTTCAGTGACATAAGTGGAAAAATGGGCTCTCATCATAGGATGGGCATCAGAGAAAGCATGTCTAAAGATGGAAAATCTGATTTGGGCTACTTCCACTATCCCACAGTGAAGAGACCATCCTACAATCAAGTTCCTTGCACATAATCAAATTACAGCTCTCTTTGTGTTTTGCCAGGCTGTTTAGACACAGATACAAGACAGACAAAAGGGCAGACCATCATTGGTCACCTCCCTCAGAGGGGTTGGCTCCGCCAGTGTTAGGGTCGCATAACACCACTTATAATGACTATCAGAATGAATATGGAGAGGATGGGTATCCTTCACTGCCTCCTTATAGGTAAGAGACACTATATTCTGTGGCAAAAATGTAAGGTTTTGGATCTTGTTCCTCTGTCTTATAGAGATTCATAAAAAGCAAGGATGTCGAGGTTATTTGCATAAAAATCAGCATATTTGTTCTTTTCTTCTTTTTATTATAACTTTTTATTTTGAAATAGCTTAAGTCTCACAAGAAGTAGCAAAAATAGTACAGAGTTCCCATGTATACCTCACCTAGCTTCCCATAATGATAATATCTTTTATAGCAATAGTCATTGTCAAAACCAGGAAATTGATATTGATACAGTACTATTAATTGAGGTACAGATTTTATTTCATGGTGATATTTACAGGATGGAAAATATTGATAATGAACACAACAATTCCTCAATCGTGCTTAGTCTATCCACCAGTTCCTCAATGGGATAGTTCCAGGGCAGTGATACACATAGGAGGCCATCGCTTGTAAAATTCAATGAACAACTTCGTTTGGTTTAACCAATGCCAGATAACTCAAGCAGGATTCTGTAGTCAACTGGAGTGTAGCAGATTACTAAGATCAGTGCTATTCAATAGCACTCACACCATGATGGACATATTCCATGTCTGTGGGGTCTAATATAGAAGTCATTGGTCACATGTAGCTTTTGAGCACTTGAAATGTGGTTAAATCAAGTGGGGAACTGATTTTAAAATTTAATTAATTGAAGTTTAAAATTAAATAGGAATGTGTGACTAGTAGCTATCATATGACAGTGTAGATCTTGGCCCAAAGGACACTCTCTTGCTCCTAACCCCAATCCTGATCCCAGCCAGCCAAGGGAGACCAGAGCCCTGCCCTTGAGTGTGAAGAAGAGGAAAGGACCTAGCATATGGCTTTCCTGTTCCATGTCTGAATGAGGGTCCCCAGTGGAAGAAGAAAATAAGTACAATATATATCATTTCCTTCCCCTCTTAGCATTCTTATGCTCTACCCAGTGTGCCTCCCCATGTGGGGGTACCATAATTGCGTGAGTTCTTATAACACATACACAATCTCACTAATGTCCCGGAACTTAAATCAATCATGTTAGGGTCCCATTCTCTTGAGCACCAATGATGTGTGAAGGTAGAATATAAACTAGGAATCTTCTCTTCTCCCTAAAATTCTCAACAAGGTCACTTAGGTCAACAAGCATGTTGCCCTATTATGAAACAAAACCTTGTGTTTTGAGAATCGACTGAGTTCTGATTCCTAGGATGGAGAGAGCAGTAATTAGTGGGAGACAGAGACACAAACAGTTGACTTCAATATAATGAGGAGCACAATGGAGTCATGTAGGCTTGAGAGAAGATTTCCCTCAAGACAAAATATGGGATCTACAGCTGTTAACACAAAATCATGCTACAAAGATTGTTCTACCGCCTGGCCTCTGCACTGTATTCGTAGCACAGCTCTCGTTCTGTCTTTCCAGAGTTTATCCTAAGGAATACTATGCGCGTGAAATTTTTGATGATGTCTCAAATTATGGTGATATGATGACAGTAAAGCCATCATTGCACAACATTACTCCCGAGCCTGAACTCTTTGGGGATGAGGCTACCAGGTAAGGGAAAGTAACCTGTGGGGAAAGCTGTCAGTATTGGATTCTGTTTCTCGATATCACAGGGGACTGTAAGAATTTGGGTCGTTTATATAGGAATCAGGAGGAGAGTGAATGAGCTTATACAATATTACCAACAAACTCAGAAATTTCTGAATGAGGCTAACCACCTCTTCTTCCAGAAAGGTGTCTTGAGAAGCCACACACAAAAAGACGAAAACTGATGCAATCAGAGATCACTGCATCATTGGTTGAGCTGGTCACCCACTTAATTTTCTAGGAAACTGGCTGATGATGAGTCTGAAGGCCAGAGTGGGGTCCCTGAAGTGGTGTGCTGGTAAATGTTTGACACCAGCTTCCCAGGGGAGAGGGGAAAGCCTCTATTTGCGGCATTTGCCAATTTCTGTGGGGTGAATCCTCCCATCAAGGCAAATTTCAAACTATCAACATGATGTTCCTGAACACAGGGTTGGGAATAGATGCGCAGTAGCCCACCATTGTATTGTCACTGCACAGATGCCATAGATGTAAATAACCTCAAGAGCACAGACTGTAGTCAAATGTAGTAAAATGATTAGAAAGTGATAAGTTTTGAGTATTTATTACCTTTGTAATATAGTTTATTTAAATGTAAATTTATGTAATTTAATTTTTACTAATAGCTGTGTTTAACAACCTGCCTGCAAAATTCTAGGAAATTTAACAATCGGCTCTCACGATGCAGCTCCAGCTCATCACTGGCTTCCTCTCCGACTCCTAAATCCCAACCTCAGCCACCCACCGGAATCCAGCGTGCACAAACACCATGAGGGAGAGTAGAAGATGGCATATTCACCCTCAGTACCTTGCATGGGGCTAACATAACCCATGACTAAATTTGTAGCCTCAGATACAACACGAAGTCTTAGAATGGCAGCCCAAGGTTCTCTCACATGGTTTACCCAAGAACTCTTTCAAGAAAAGAGCTATAGATCCTTTCTTTTGCTCTCACTTCTCCAAATACTTGTTCTCTTTAACCTTAATCCATGTATCAATTTCTCTGCTAATCCCTTTCATGTTGAAATGAATAGACATATCAAGGAATATATAAAGGAATCAAGAGATCAAGGATTTCAGGCATATATCAAGAAATCAAGAGAACCTAAAAAAATGTCAGACAAATGAGACAATGTTTCATGGTACCACAGCAGCAATGATGCAATAAATATTGGATCTATAGAAATAAATGTTATTTCATATTGCATCACACCCTTTCTTAGGAATCGGGACTCTTGCCCTTTGATTCTCCTGGTCTGGATTGGTTCCACATTGAGTGGTTGTCTTCATCCAGAAGGGATCACCTATATTAGGGCAGATTTCTCATGCCAGATGCTTAACCACTAGCTCACCTTATAGACCACGATTTTTAACTTTGGCTAAAGAGTCGAATCACTTGGGAAGTTTTAAAAGTACTGATGCTTAGGTTCCCCCTCCAACCTTCTGAGTTAATTGGTCTGGGATGTGACCTGTGCATTGGGGATTTTAAAACTTCCCGGTGTCTCAAGTTTGGGAACCACTGCTATGGGGGCATGTATTTCATCCATGGGTCAATTGGGTTCAGTTTTTTGATTCCAACAGTCATATGAACCAATCAGGGCAATTTAAGCAAAAGAAAGTAGCTATGGCCATTTTGGACACTGGTAAATTGGAGGAGCCAGCCCTGGTGGTCTAGTGGTTAAGATTCCACGCCCTCACTGCCACGCCAGGCTTGTTTCCCAGTCAGGGGACCACGCCACCTTTCTGTTGGTTGTCATACTGTGGTGGCTGCATATTGCTGTGATGCTGAAAGCTACGCCACCGGTATTTCCAATACCAGCAGGGTCGCCTATGGTGGACAGGTTTTAGTGGAGCTTCCAGACTAAGACAGACTAGGAAGAAGGACCTGGCCATGCACTTCCCAAAAATATTGGCCATGAAAACCCTATGAATAGCAGTGGAGCATGGTCTGATATAGCATTGGAAGGTGAGAGGATGGTGCAAAAAGAACAGGCAGGGCTCTGCTCTGCTGTACACGGGGTCACTAGGAGTCAGAATGGACTCAACGGCACTGACAATAAATAATAAAAGAAGAGGGAGAGTAGTCAAGACACACTGGGTTCTAGAGAGCTCCTTGGTTCTACTATCCTACACTTTATCCAAGTCATCTCTCGATAGTCTAGAGCAGTACTGTTCAACAGAACTTTCAACCAGGAGCTGAATTTTTAATTAAATCAAATTTTGTTAAATTTAAACAGCCTCTTTTGGTTAGTGACTACCGTTTGGATGATACAGCTCTAGTTTTTAATCACATCTTCATTCTTTTAACTGCTTCTTGCTATTTTCCTTATTTTTGACACAAAAGGACCTCAGTCAGCAGCAAAGCAGAAGAGGACTCTACACGGAGAGAAGAATCAGGTAATTGGCTAATATAGAGCAGGGGCCATGGGTGTGTCAGTGGGTTGATGGAAGTGTCCTGTGGTTTTATGTGGAGAACACAGTTGTGAGGTCTTATGGCAGCAAAGATCAAAAGTAATTTTTCTCATCTCTAATACGGTGCACTCCGCAACGTAAAGGGGATATGAAGTACTTGTGATCTTAGCCATTACTTCTGGAATCGATTCCATATTCCAAACACTCTATTAGGGATGTTACACATAATCTCTTTTTATTATCCACAGAAACTCTATGAGTGGATTGTGTTGACTCTATTTTAAAGACAAATAAAACAAACTTGGAGGTGATAAGTCTTCCAGGTAGTAGGACCACTTCTCATCTCAGAGCCTGAGCAGTGGGCACGGAGTCCAGCAGTGCCTGCATGCTGCTGCTAAGGCTCTCCCCACTGGGTCAGGAATGCTCAAAGAACCAGGGGATGGTCTGTGATGCCTCGGGGTGGTGGCGGATGTGAGGACAAACACGTGTTCCTCTGTCTCTTCAGCTTTTGCGCTTGTTCCTTTTCTGGACTTGACTTTCCTCACCAGCGGAAGGTATTATCTACTATTTGGGACCACGTAGAAATTTAACTGCCTTGGTTTCTGCCCGAGACAAATGCAGCCCACCAACAAAACTGTCCAGCCTGGCTTCCCTCTTAAATTTGGGGGTACAATTTTACTAGTGACAAAGAACACTCTTGTGCCCTTCCTTGTCTGGATTCAAAGAACAGAGCCCTATGTTCTAGCCACGTACCCTTCTCTCCAATATCCATATTGCCGACAGCCTGTGTATAATCCAACACCCAAGACTCCTTCCAACCATGCTTTTCCAACAAGCTGCATCTGACTTGGGCGGTATTTTCTTTTCAGGAGTTAGTTGCTCATCAGACAAGCAAGTAGTGCCCCCCTTGGCTGCCACACTCTCTTCTGGGGTTAAACTAGCTTGTAATAGTAATCAGTTTCTGGGACCTGGAGGAATTGTGGATGCTGAGTTGGTCGATCAAAGCACAAACAGATACAGGTAAGAACAGAAGATGCTGATTATTTAAATACAACTCTGCTCTAAAGGAAGTCTGTACTACATGATCCTATACATGTGTACATGATACAGTACATGATTCGTCCTTTAAGATACCTGAAATTTTACCAATGTTGTGTTTATTTCATGAACTAAATTGGTACTTTAATTTCAACAAATATAGAATACTGAGAAAGGGGGGCCAGAGAGCTTAATTAACCACTCAGAGTTTTTTAATATAGTAAAAGTCGCAGATGAGTCTTGAACAATGCCTCACCCCAGACACTGCATCCTTCTCCACAACTGTTCTTCAAATCAAAGCCCTAGTGTTCTCCCAGCATAACTTCTACTCTGGCTCCTTTCAGGATACACCTCCCCACGGCCGGCTGCTATCTGTGGCCAGCCACACACCTTGGCTTCCTGGTAAGGGCGGCAGTGACTGTGGAGATTGCGTTCAATTCTTGGGGTCAGCATCTGGACCTGGACCTGCAGCACCATGACCAGTGGATGGTGGCGGGCCCCTTGTTTGACATCTCCATGGAGCCTGGGGAGGCCGTTGCTGAACTCCACCTCCCCCACGTCATCTCCCTCCAAGGTAATGAGGGGAGAGAGGCCACTGTGGGGAGGTCAGAGAACATTCTGCCTTACTGCCATTGTGCTTCTCCTACGCAGATGAGGTCGATGTCTCCTGGTTCCAAGTTGCCCATTTTAAGGAGGAAGGGATGATCCTGGAGCGGCCAGCCCGGGTGGAAGCTTTCTATGCCGTCCTGGAAAACCCCAGCTTCTCTCTGATGGGAATCCTGCTGAGTATTGCCAGGGGGACCCGTCTCTCAGTCCCCATCACTTCCACAGCACTGATCTATTGTCACCTCCACCCTGAAGATATTAAATTCCACGTGTACCTTATTCCCAGTGATTCTGTGCTAACAAAGGTAAGGCTGAGAGATTGTGGAGGTCATGAGAAGATGACAGTTACCTTTCCATCTTGTCACCTGGGACCTGCCATCTCCTTATTAGGCAGAAAAGACCAGGCACAGTTTTCATGTATAGACTTATGGATCACCCTCCACGAGGTCAATCCGTGGGTGTTGACTCTTGAGCTATATGCAACGATCTGCAACAGAAATTCAGCCCTACTAAAAATGGAGATTCCCTCTTCTGGCTCACAAGGAAAAGGAAAAAGAGAGAGGAGACTTTTGGAGGATTGGCAGGAGTAAGATGCAGAGATTCCACTGCAGAATTTTAAATTGGTGATTTCTGAATTAAACCCACACTTGCCCCTCTGGAGTCATCCTCCTCCTATTCAGTGGCGTCTCCCTCTAATGCATTTGCAAAAGGCTCATTGCCCCCCACCCTGTCCTGGGTTGGTGATAAAGCAGATGCGCTGGTCCCTGCAAATCCACAGCTTCTGTGTTCCTGGATAAAGTACCACATCTGTCCCTCCAGCCTCGGTGGAGAGGAGACAGGGGGATGATTACATCTGATTTGACTGCCCTGTTATTTAATGCTCCTACATCCCAATAAAAACAGGCAGATGGGTGCCTGGCGGTATTTAGAGTTGTGAGTAACCGTGGGTATTTAAAGTACAAGAGAAAACATTTAAATGAGGATGCTAAAGATGCCCACTCCTAGCGTACACAGGAAAAGAAGAAAACAACAACAACAAAAACAAATTCTTGTGGGACTTTTCTTTCCATTCTGGACACACCCCAGTTCCCGGCCTCAGCTTTCTGTTTCTTCTTCCTTCCTTGACCCCAAATCTCGTATGATAACTTCCCTCATACCTTACTGATACAATAGAAACAACGAGATGGAAATGACCTCATGTTTCCACCATCAACTTTGTAAGTCTAATTCTGCACCATCTTCACTTTTCCCGTTCTCCTACAACCGACGAAGCCGCCCTCTGCTTGAGCGAGGCCATGACTTAAAACATGTCCTGGATCCCTTTCCTTCCTGTCGTACATAGGACACCACACATTGAGGCATCTTCCCTCACCTCCTCCGTCGGTCTCTCCTACCTTAGTGCATCATTCCCATCAGCAAACCAAAATCTAGCATAGCTACCATATTGGAAATGCCTTTCTGGACCATTCTTCCTTCTCCAAACATAGTTTCTATTTTTCTCTTATGCTTCTTAGCAAATGGATCAACAGCTCTGTGGATCCATAGTCTCGATAACACTCAGTTTTCACTCTGTCCTCAAATCCCTCTAACTGGATTACTTCACCACCATTCCTTAAAATGGCTCTGTTTAAAGTCACCAGTGACTTCCACATTGAATAATTCTTACCTGAAGTCTCAGCACCATGTTATATCGTTGATCACTCCCTTCCTTGGAAACAGTCCTCTTGAATTCTTTAACACTGTATTTTCCCAATTTCTCAGTTACTGTTCTCACCTTTCTTCAAACTGCCTCTGCGGGATCTTGATCTGAAACTCCCTCTGAATCTCGAGTTCCCAGGGCTGAATATTGGACTCTCCTTTCTCCTTTCCGTACTCACTGATGGTCTTAGTGAATTCTTTCAGTCCCAAAATTGAATTCCATGTAAGAGAGGGATTCCTAAATCTGTATCTCCAGTCCTGGTCTCTCTTCCGAGCTCCGAATTGTAACTGCCTGACTTAACATTCCCATTTGACTGCTTAATCAGTGTATCTAACCATATATATTAATTTTGTTTTATTCTCTAAAACTGTCATTTCAACTCTCTTCCCCACCGAGGATAGAAAACCAAGTTCCGTTAAGTCATTCAAGCCAAAATATAGAATTTATCTTTGATTCCTCTGTTGCATTTCTTTTCCACGTCCAATGTATCATTAATCCCAATGAACTTTACTTTCATTGTGTTTCATGAAATATTTATGGAGTTACCATCTACAGAGAAACTGAGAATAAATAAATAAACAAAGAGATACATGGGTACATATATCTTTACTTTCAAAGCAAAGATAATATAATTTGAACCAGTCTCATTTCCCTTCATCATCATTGCCAGCTTTAGTCCAATCCACTACCGTCTTTTGCTAGAAATATGACTAAACCCTCCGGACTTATCTCACTGGTTCCATTGTTTTTCATCTATTTTTTATCTAGCAACAGGGAGATCTTTTACAAGCATAAATAATACCATATCCCTCCTTGACCAAGACTCTTCCGTGAATCTTTATTTTATTTAGAACATGAACCAGATAATTTACTCTGGCTACGGCATTACTTGGGCCTGAAGGGCCTCTCTTGTCCATCTCCCGCCACTCTCTTCTCACACATTATGTTCCAGCACCAATGATCTGCATTTTACTACCTCAGACACTCCAAGAACTCTTGCTTCTGGGCCCTTGCCTATTTTGTTTCCTCTGCAAGACTGGCTTCTTCCCATCTTTCTAGTGTTTGCCTTAATGTCTCTGCTTTAGAAAGTTTATTTCCAGACTCTCCAGTTTGGTCCAGCCCTCCTGTTATTTTTGATCGCTGTACTCTCTTCCTTCCTGCCAATGTACTCATATATCTCTTTGTTGAGTACAATAAAGAGATTCTCTATAGATTGTAAACTCCATAAATGGGAGGGACCGTTTCTACTTAATCATAAATTAGTTAAATCAGTGTAAGGCCTTTTGTAGGCATTCATGAAATTTTGTTGACAGAATGAATGGAAGATGGTCTGTCTTCCTCTACTTGGAGGGGAAGGAGAGAGGAGAAAACTTTTCTTCACTTAAATCACAAGTTAAACTCAAAATATCTATTGTTGCCCTGGGGACTTTCCCTGCTTACTTCAAGAGCGATGTAGTCCAATGTGGTAGCCATTGGCCAAATACGGCTATTGAGCACTTGAGTTGAGATGTGCTGTAAATTTTTAAAAAACACAGATTTTGAAGACAATATAAATTAATATAAATTCTATGTTGATTACATGTTTAAATGATAATATGTTGGGTTAAAAGAATTATGTCATAAACATATTACTAAAAGTAATTTCACCTGCTTCTTTTAATTTTTTTAAAAATGCAGCTGTTAGAAAATTTGAAATTACATTTGGGGCTCTCTTTATATTTCTATTCAATAGCGTGGCTCCAGGGAAATTCATTTACCCATTCAACAAATATTTATTCTGTGCCTTGTGTATTCCAGGCACTATTTTAGGGACTGGGGATACATCAGTGAACAAAACAAACAAAAACAGGATAACCAAAGATATCGTATGGAATGTTTGTGCTATAGGAAAAATGTATGTGCAAATGATAAGTGGTATAAAAAATAAAGAAGATTAAGGGACTTGTGACTGCTTCGAGTTTCAATCCATAAGACCAACTAAGTACAGTGGCATGTCTCTGAATATCTGCAGAAATCTGCTCATAATGATAACCCATCAAAGTTATACTGATGTCTTCTCATAGTGATAACCCATCAAAGTTATATGGAGGACTTTGATTATTTTAGCTCCAGCCTCTTATTATTATAATTTCAATTAAGTGTATCTCTTCATTTAAAACAATTCTTCATCAGAGATGGCATGACACTTTATTGTCTTTCCTCCGTCAGTTTCTTTTCATCGCTCTGGAGTTGTTACTCTTTATTAGTGGATGTATAGGGAGTGACTCCTTGTATGTATAGCTCTCCACCTCCCTTCTCTGCCTCCTCCCCATCATGGTGTCATCTCTGTGATCAATACAATTTGAAATTTTTCTTTCACTTGATCTTCCAGTCCCAAATCAAATTTCAATGTTGGCCATCCTTTCCTTCAAATGTATCTACTGATTTTTTTTTTTAATTTTTTTTGTGTGTGTGTGAGGAAGATCAGCCCTGAGCTGACATCCATGCTAATCCTCCTCTTTATGCTGAGGAAGACAGCTATGAGCTAACATCTATTGCCAATCCTCCTCCTTTTTTTTGTTTTTCTCCCCAAAGCCCCAGTAGATAGTTGTATGTCATAGTTGCACATCCTTCTAGTTGCTGTATGTGGGACGCGGCCTCAGCATGGCCGGAGAAGTGGTGCGTCAGTGCAAGCCCGGGATCTGAACCCGACCCCCAGTAGCTGAGAGCGTGCACTTAACCGCTAAGCCAGGGGCCAGCCCAGATTTTTTAAACTTAATCAAATATGCAGTTAATTTGTTGCTCCATAATTTTCACAGTGGACACACCATTTATCCAGCACCCAGAACAAGAATTAGAACATCCTCAGTTTCTCTGAAGCCCCTTATTGCCCCTCCCTGCCCCCTCTCAGTCACTACCCCCAAAGGGTGTTTACTAACTGGACAAACAACACCATGCACTGTAATTGTTTTTAACAGAAATTCTTGCTCATTCATTCCATAAAGTCTCTTTTGAGCTGTATCTGAGACTTCTCAGATGTTATTATTATTTCATTGTTTGAGTGCTATTGAGTGTCTTTGGTAGCTGCTCAGATCGTTCTGAGGCTCCTGGGCTTCTCAGAGGCCACATCACGTCTGTATTGTTTGCTGGTGCTCAGGAGATACAGCACCTCACGTGACAGCAGCCCTGCAGTGGAGAGAAGTAAAATCTCTACCTTTCCCCATCATAGATGTAGCTGCAGACACAGAGGGTCCCCTGCTGAGGCAAAATAAGGAAGTCTCTTTGTCTCCAGGTTTCAGGAGCACCCGGCCAAGCTCTGTCACATTATACAAAGAAAATGAAACTATACAGAGATTCGTAATAAAAAGAAATCTCTTGGTTCTCAGATAATCAACAGTAAAATTTCATTAATACATCTCTTCATGCATGGAGACATATTCATATCTGTGTCTCTGTCTGTATATAAATCTTTATATCAATTGAATCATGTCATACATACTACATAATACAATATATCGATAACTTTTTTTAATATTTTGTTTATTGCAGTAGCATTGGTGTATAACATTGTACAAACTTCAGGTGTACGTCATTATACTTCTATTTCTGCATATATTACATCATGTT